TCTCATCTGATCTCATATTTATGGCTTATATTTTAAAACAATAATAACAATTAACACTTACCACACAGTGTTATATCACTTTCCACACAATGGAAAGGTATGTCAGCAAATCTTTTAATTATTATTAATTTTGTGACAACTTTTCATTTGAAAGAGTGGGCTATAGTTTATAAGTGAATAGATTTGTTTAAACTACATATAATTCTTATATAAACTTATTATATATTGCATTAGTTATTAAACTTTATCTCTATTTAAGCCAATAATGATTCTTAAAAATTATTAAAAAAATAGATTTAATATATACTTCATAAGTTGATAGATGTTTTACTACATTAGTTATATAACAATTAACTGTAATTATATACAATACAAATGAATTGCAAAATAACTTGATAGTGCTTAAACATAATTTCACTTTAAATAAGCTGTAAATGAAGTTTTTTACACAATTTATAATTAGATGTATTTATAAAATAAAATTTATAACATATCTAAAAAAGTGGGGCAAAACTAATTGAATTAATAGTGAAAATTTTAAATAATATAATTAACAGTTTATTGAAAACAATTCAAATTGTTATTCATTTTTAAAATTCATTTTTATACCAATTTTTAAAATTTAAATTTTTACATTAAAAATATTAGTTTTTACTTACTTTGTATTGTGTAGTTTTAACTATTTAATATAATAAAATTTATTTAATAATACAGTTTAGTTAATTTTAATCTATACAATGTCTATAAAAATTTATCATAATTTATTGTAATATTTTGTAAAAATGAACTAAATTTTACATAATTTTTGGTATTTGTTTAATAAATTAATAAAATTTAAAGCATTGTATTATCAAATCAATAGATATTCTGAATTGAATTTCAATCCATTTTATATGTTTTTTAAAAGTCTTTTTTAATAAATCAATGTTTGTCTCACATTAAGTGTCAAACATTTTTAATATACAATACGTTAACTGAGTTTCTCGCTATCAAGTCTTGGATATTGAGCTGTATTTAGAGATAAGCAAATAGAAATTTCTAATAAGTTTCCCTGGGAAAATTTCTCTAGAATAACTTTTAAATAGAAATTTTACTTTTTATTATACTATAACTATTAATTATATACATACAAATGGGATCCCTATATATTAAATTATAGTTTTGTAAAATTTTATTAATGATTTAATTACATTTTTAATTTAATATAATAAAAAATGTTAATATTTTACTTTAATTATTAATTAAAATACAAATAATAATAATATTTAACTATTAAGTTACTTTTAATCAAAATGTATTGTTAAAAGATAACTAATATCGAGAGAACAAAATTGACATTAAGATCGCATTGACAGAAATTTCTTTTAAAATATTTCTAGAAATTTCTTTTTTTCCAACATTAGCTGTCTTTAATAAAAAAAATAAAATAATTTTATATTAGATATAATTTTTAAAAAATTAAAATATAAAAACAAAAACAGTAAATTTTAAACACAAATACAATAATCTTAATATTATTCCTTTTATAGATTTTAATATTCTTAATCTTGAGTTTATAAATAATATTTAATGTAAATATTTTTATTCTCATTATTATAACAACAATTAAATTATTTTTTAACAACAAATATTAATTCTTTAATATAATTAATTTTAGTTATTCTTTATTATTAATCTGTAATGATATAATTTTCTTATTATATATTATAATTTGTTTTTATGTTTATATTTATAAATTTACTAAAATTGTAAATTTTAATCAACATTTGTATATTTATGTTACATTCTTGTTACTAATAAATTATTTACTCATTTATAAATAAAGGTATATATTTATAGTTATAAAATATATCATACATACATTAATTGTGCACATAATTTATTTGCAAATCAAATCAAAGATTAATTTCAAATCAAACTTATATAACGTTTATAAATTATATTAAAGTTATAAATACTAAAGATATTTATTAAAAAAATAAAATTTGCAATTTAGTTGTTTTATTGACATAAAAATAAATAAAATAACAAAAAATTATTATATGTTGTCTAATATTATGTAATCAATATTTTGATCTGATTTGTATTGACATAAAAAAAATATAAAATATGTATAAATGGATTTGGTTTACTTGATTTTGTTAAGGATTTTATATAGCAATACTTTATGGAAATAAAAATAGCTTAATAATAGTGACTCATTATTTTATATAAACTGGATCTCAATTTTTTGTTCACTCTAATGCAATATTTTTTGTTAATATTTTACAATAAATATTTTGTTATAATATATATATATTATATAAAATAAACTAAATAAATACCAGTAAAAAGTGTAGAGAGAGAGAGAGAGAGAGAGAGAGAGAGAGAGAGAGAGAGAGAGAGAGAGATTTGTTTATGTTTATGATAATGACTAATTTACATAAACTTAGTTATATAATCACAAGTAGTTTGCATAATAACTTATAACTAACTAATTTCATTCAATTAAAATTATTTATTAGTTTAGTTTAAATATAATTATAAAATTTGTGATTACTTTTAATTTCTTAAACGCCAAATCATGGGAAGTATACAATTATTTAGAACAGTATTGTTATAATTTATAAATTATTTTCAATTCAAATTTCAGTGAAAGAATTTTTGTTTATTATAATAAAATTTGTCAAATCATGTTTAGTATAATACAGTATATTAACTGAGCTATAGATACCGGTATTTTTTATTTCAATTTAAAATTTATAAGTATAATATATATAGAAAATTATAAACTTATAAACAGATAATTAATACAAACTGTTTTTTCCAGAAAGTTGTATTGCACATGCAATTTATATGTATTTATTATATAACATGTTTATCTAACTCAGTAACTAATAATATTGCTATATTGTATGATATATTCAATATATACAGTATACTATATTGTATCATATCTACTATATATAAATAATAATAATCAAAAATATAATTTAGTAATAATAGTAACAAAGAGGAGATATAATTTGTTAGATATAACTTTGACCAACAAATTGTCTAAACTCAGAGAACCTGTTCATAATATCATACCTGTTTAAAACATATCATAATATCAGTTGACCTAAAAGTTATATTAAAATTGAAATCAGTTATTGTGGTCGATATATAACATACTTACAGTGTTTGTGTGCATACATATGATTAGTTTAAATGACATATAATTAGTTATCAATTTTTTTATTTTTTAGGCGAAAGTTTCAGTATTCTGTTATTTCAATGGTCACGAAACGCTATTTTCTTTTTCAACAAAAAATTTAATAATATTGTTATATAACTAACTATATATAATAAGTTGTGATTATACAGTATAACAAATACAGTATATTAAATAGAGAGTTGTTTTTTATTATTAGGTCATTTGAATAAACTTGAAATATGTTAATATCATATTAAGATAATTATCTATTTTATTAAAATATAATTTTTATTTATTATAGTACTATACTCAGAGTTAAGAAAGTTTTTAAGGCCAATAAATTAATTGTGATAACGATCTCATTTAATATATAAACGGCTAAAAATATTTCATTTAATGTATAAAATCATTTAAGTAATAAACTATTTATCTTATTATTGACATATGAATCTATAAGTAAATTTAAGGTTATTTAATTATATGGTCAAAAACAGTTTAAAATTACTGATATACAATATTGACATTATTAATATTTTATTTTAATTATTATTCAATAAATTTGTATTATAAATAAGCATTATATTATCTTTTATTATCATACATACTATATTAAAAAAAATTAATCTAAAAATCACAAATTAATCTAAAATTAACGAAAACTTTATTTTCATGATTTCACTTTAGTATAACAGAGTATTTAAATTTTTATTTTATAAATATGCATAATTTAAGTATAAACTTTAAAAATAAAAAACAAATAATTCAATGGCAATAAAGTATCTTATTGTATTACAATATTACAAATGTATCCAAAAATATATTTCATATTTTTTCAATTTTTATTTGTATTTAAATTATACTTAAAAATATAATACTTTTTATTAACATTTTTTATTTAAATGTTTTACAAATAATATTTGTTATCATAGTACTGTATGATATACTGTATTAAGTATTATACCTGTTATCAATATTTTATCTTTTATTATGTCTAATAATATAATCGTAAGAAATATAATCTAATAAACGATATCTTTAAATGCAATTCCTTTGTTGTATTGGCGATAAAAAAATTAAGTAATAATTTAAAATATAGATTAATAAAACATTAACTTGAAATTTTACAAACAAATGCATAACTAGTTTTTTATAATAATAATTAAATTTTTAAAACTTCTTTATTTGTATCTTTATTTAATTTAGTTATAACATTACAAATATTATAATTATTAGGGATTGAACAACAATCACAAAAAAAGAAAGTTCTCATTTAAATTCCTTCAATCTTTCCCAATATTAATTTATATGAAATTTTTGGAAAAATATTTATAGAAAAGGAATTTTGTTGAACCCTAATAGTTATATAGTGTTAAAAATACATTCAATGAAAAGTGACAAAAAATACGAAAAATATTTTTAGAAATAATATAAGTAAAAACAAAATATAGTAAATGTGTAATAACTTAATGAATGTTTAAATATATATTAACATATTTATAAAATTTAATGGTTTTTGTGTTCATTGAAACATTAATTTGTTATTATAGAAATTAAATATTAATTAACTATTTAAATTATAATTAAAATATTGAGACAATAATTGAGGTCATTGTTCGCATATAAATAGATTGAAATGAAGTTGTGTTGACTTACTATATCTTACTATATCTTATTAAATCAATTTTTAATTATTTTTCAATTGCTTTTGTCTTAACAATTATACTGTCATTAATCCATTAGATGTGTTGATGACTTCAAACATATTATTGTTATGTATATAATGTCAACAATTAAAATATTACAATAAAACTGAGACATTAGACTCCTATTTCAATATTGTTGAAACCGGCAAATCCTGAATAATGTAAATGATAAAAATTAAAAATAACACTTAATTTTTTTGTATAATTAAAAAATAAAATTATTTTTCATTATAATTTGATTGCCTTTTGATAATTAAAACAACAATTACTTATTAAATATATAAATGAGTCAAACCTTAAATTTAATGCCAAAGCCGTCTAACTCTAGTCTTAATGTATCACATAATGTGAGCAAATCTTTAGTATTTTGATGTAATTCATTAGAAATATTATTTACATCTGTATTATTGGTAGTTTTGTCGATATTTTTCAATGATTTCAATGCTATTTGGCGGACATCTGACCGAAATTTAGTCAAAGCATTCAATATAAGCGCTTCTCTAGCAGTTGTGTCCTCTATTGATGATATAAATGTTAATCCCATGCCGTCTAACCATTTGTCATACAAGGCTTTGACTCTTATCAGATCCAATAGCGAGTAATCGGCGGTTGAATTAAATTGTTTGGCCAGAAGTAGAACTGCTTTGAGACCCATTTCAAGATCCAAGTCGTCAGAAATTCCTCTTAATATAGATCTCTCTGTTTCGTCGATAGCCTCAGAAAATAATGCTTGTCTTTGATTTTTAATTAAATTCAATGATATGTTGTTTGAACACAATTTACAAATTTCTAAATTCAGATTTTCTTTAAAATCAAGAAGTTTTTTATCGATATTTTGCATTTCAGCGATTAAATGTTCCTCATATTGAAAATCTTTTTTAAAAAATATTATAAATAACCTATTATTTAGTATCCAATTGTTTTGTAAATTTATTTTACAGTAGTTTAAAAATAGCATCAATATATTTATTATGTAATATTATTTTAATTGAGTGAAAGAAAGAAAAAGAAAGAGATCTATAATAACAGTCAATTTAAATGATGTTAAAAAGTAATTTTTGCTAAAACTATCGCTCCATTGATTATCTAAAGTAAATTAAATTTTATAATCTCTTTTCAGTTTTTATTAAGATTGTAAAATTATATACATTAGCACATAATGTATATTATAAAACAACAATATTATTAATAATATTTTATAATAAAAAAATATATAATTATTAATATTAATAATAAATTAAAATTAATAAGTTTGTTAAATAAATCATTGAATAATTTATAATAAATATTAATTATACAAAAAATTTAATTAATTAATTAATAAAATACCTGAACGATAGTGAAGTTTAATACAAAATAACCTCAAAATATTTGGTGAATATTTTTTCAAAAAATCTTTGATTAGAATCACATTTCCTAAAGATTTACTCATTTTCTATAAATAAATAAAACAACAAATAAATGATTAATTTTTAATAATAATTTATAAATAACTTTAATAATACTTTGCCAACAGTGATATTAATCAGAAAAAAATCATTTACCGTAATATATAATAAAATGCTATCTATTGATTGATTGACATATCTATTAATTTAAATCAATCTCTTATTGTTACGAAACTTAAAGCTTCATTAAATTTGGGTTAAACCAATTTTTCAATCTATAAATAATAATAAAATAGCTCATCACTTAATAGCATTATATTATATCACAAGAAATTAATATAATATTAAATTAATACAATAATAAAGGATTCGTCGAAATCAATCAAATGATAACTTTTTTTAGTCAATGAGTCGTAAATTTTATTAAATATTAGACATTTATACCGTAAAATAAAACAAATGAAAAACATAGCATTTAGTTAATATAGTTATATCAATAATATATAAAATACATTAAAAACATGAAAACGATTTTTAAAATTTTAACAATACCTCAGACTTGAGGTTGAGATGCCCGGAGTGAAGCCATATATTGCCCCAACTATACAACGGTTTAGAGTCATCCAACTCAAGAAAAGCATGACTACAACAGGACTCGCAGTGATGGTGAGGGAACCGTAGGTCGTGTCCACCAAAATGAATATCCAGTTGAGTGCCAAATACTTTATGAACTAAAGCACTGCACTCTATGTGCCAGCCTTTGGTCAAACATATGATATATTAACAAAAATCAAATTATTTATTTATATCAATAATAATAATACAAGACCTGGTCGTCCAGGTATTGTAATGCCATCAGTGGTGACTAAACGCCAATTTGGTTCACCGTTTTTTGCTGACTTCCATAATGCAAAATCTTTGGGCGACTTTTTGCCGACAGATTTGTCCGTAATTTTCATGTCATCTCCACCTAAATAATTGTTTATATTATATGATTTGATGAAGTGTTCAAAATCAAAGTTAATATCATTGGTTTGATCGCTGATATAAGCAAATCCTTTATCTCTAATAGTGTTAATGTAATTAATAATTGTATTCATATGATCCGTAACTCTAAGGTAACAATTGGCTGGCATTACATTCAATGATTTCATATCTTCAATAAATGAATTGGTGTACTGATTGGTCACTTTGCGAAAATCACAGTTAAGGTGATTGGCTTTTGCTATAATCTTGTCGTCGATGTCCGTCATATTCATGGCTAACAATACCTCGCAGTTGTAGTATTGGCGCAAAACTCGTCGCAAAAGATCACATCTTATGTAAGTCAATGCGTGTCCCAAATGACAGTCTTCGTAAACAGTAGGACCACAACAATACATTGTCATCCATGGATCAGATAAACCATCACTTCTGGTGCTTAAGTCTAACATTTTCTTGCTTTTGCTGAAACTATTTTGTAATAAAATTTGTTTTCTTGTAACCAATTCATCGATGGTTTCGACACTCAATTGACTCAATCTTCGCATTGATTTACATTGAATAATGTTTTTACAGATAATATATCTCTTGAGGTGATGTCTTAACAACATTTCTAACAAATATCACTCGTTTTATATATTAATATAAATTTTGATAAATATTTTAAATCAATTGTAATCTCTATTATGATTCACAACTCAAATGTAAACACAAGTCATATGTTTGTCACGTGTTTGCTCTTAATGTCAATGATATGCAATAATGTCTAATAAATTGTAAATTTTAAGTTAATATTAAATAATAAAACATAACATTTAACTAACTTTTTCGGTGACATTAATGTAATTTTTAATTTTATTTGTTATAAATGATAACTTGTTATTTAAACCGGTAAATTATATATGTACTGTACTGTACTGTAGTATAAAATTGCATCATTTATAATGTATAATACAAATAAATTATTGTAATCATTAAATTTATGAAATGTATTCATAATTTATTAATATTATAAATTTTATAATATTGAATACCTGTAGACAGTACAGTATAGTTACTATACTATAGTATGTATACTTGTATAGTAATACTGTATAAATATTATTATTGTATTCATACAGTATTACACATCCGTTACAATATAAACTATTTCTTAATAATGACAAATTATTTTATAGTAAATTAAATATCTAAACAAATTTTATTTAATTTAAAACGAATTAATAAATTGTTATATTATACTATAATTTTCAAGATATTTATTATAAAAATACTGCACTATCTTACTATCAGACTCTCGACTCATGATTTTTTTTTAAATATCTAGTAAACCATATTTTAAATATAAAAATGACCAATGTTAAAGTTATAGAAAATTTTATACTGAATATATTTATAATTGGTCATTTTTTATTTACTTTTATGATTGGTCAGATAATTGAATCAGACTCATTAAAACAGGTTCAATTGACCAAGAACTAATTATAAATATATTAAGTATAAAATTGTCTATAACTTGTCTAATAAGTAAATATTTTATTATTAAAAGATATTTATTGAAATTATTATATAAATTAATAAATATAATTATTAGTATTTAATTAAATAAAACTTTTAAAACAGTTGTAAATCTATTGTCACAAAATATATGTTTCAAATATCATATTATATTAATTGAATCGATAATTATATATTTTGATCTAAAATCAAATAAATTTTCATGTGATTTCAATAAGTTAATCAATCCTTTAATATTATAATTACAGTTATATAAATATAATAAATTAAAATTAATATTAGAAATTGTTTAATAATAGTTTAATTGATGTCTTCATTGTGGTCACTGTCGTCACTGTCTTTCCCTGTCCTAAGAACTTGTAATAAAGTATTTTCTTTCTTCGTGGAAATGTTTGACTGAATTTATGTTATGACAAACATTATTAGCAATCTTTTGATTTTCACATAAAAACTTTGGACTAATATTAATAGTATTTTGTAAGTCATTAGACTTGCAATTACTTCTAATGACAACTACATAGTAATCGAGACAATTGGCTACAAATGCAGAGCCGACACTCCAAACGAGACACTTCTCAAGATTGTCAAACTCGATGGTCGTCTCTGTTTTGTAGTCTTCAATACCATTGTAAGCAATTGTTTGTATGAATATTATCTTTTCGGTGGTAATCAGTACTGAATACATATTTCGCAACTTTTCTACTGAAACAAATCGTTCCAATTCTTCTCTATTAGTGATTAGATGCCAATAATTAAAGAATTCTTGTCCTTTAGCTTGTATTGAGTCGTATTTAATTAATAAACCATTAATAGAGTTAACTCTTGGAGGACGAACTCTTTCAGTGATAAAATTATTATGGTTTGAAATTTTACGAGTAGACTCACGTACAGCACTTGCAGCTCCAGTTGCAAAATCTAACATTCCTACTGCCGGTTTGGTTATAGTGCCAACTAATCCTTTACCTAAACCAACAAATATTCCGGGAACACCTTCTTTAACTGCTCCCTCATATGTTTGAGTGATAATACTTGTAAACCCTCCAAGAATGCCAACCCCTAACCCTTTAAATCCAGTGGTCAAGTGGTTAGTGTTGTCTTGTTTGATACGTTTTCTAATAATTTGATGTCTTTGATCCATATTGACGACATCCAAACTATCCGATAATACAGAAGTGACTTTAGCTGTAGAGTCAGATATGCCATGGGCTACATTCCAGATGAGACCACCAAAATTGCCCTCATGTATCAGCTCATTAAGACCATCAGTTACATCATTGACAAAACCTAATGGATTGCCTAAAAAGTCAACCGATCCTAATATCTTTGCGGCTTGACTTTTGAGTTCAGCTCTATAGTGATTGTAAATTGAATCAATCAAAAAATTTTTGGTCATCAATGTATAGACTTTCTTGAATGGTGACAATTGAACGGTTGCGTCCTCGAAACGGATCAGTTTAATGCCTAATCTTTTCTTTAATCTTGCGTATAGTTTTGGTAAATGACTGGATGTAAATACACTGAGTTTTACTTGAGATAACTGTATTAAAAATATTGTGAAGTAATAACGTGAAGATTTAGCCAATATTGAAGAGATGGCTCGATTGGCTGCTGAGTCTTGACTATGAATTTGATCCAATTCATTGTCTATTATATCAATCCCGAGGAACTCTAATATCTTTAATAACAGAATTTCCTCCAAATTAAATATCATATCTTTGATTGATATTTGAAAACTCTAAAAGAAAATCGAGAGATTATTATCGGATAAACTAAAAATATAATGTAATCAATAAAAATTAGTTGAATTACTTTGAATACATTTGCCTCAACATTTGAAACAAATTGTTTTTGTGCCGACACTGATATGGCGGGTAATTGTACGCTATTAACGGCTGAATTCAATTGAAGTATAACTGCCTTTTCGGCTCCTTTTAACTGATTATCGATCTATTTATTAAAATAATTTTTAAATAGTAAACAATAGGATAGAAATAATTATAATAATTGTTTAGACACCAAACCTGAATGTCTTTTATCGATGTATTGAAATCGCATTCTTCAGCATTAAAATTAAAACAAATAATAGAATTACGAAAGAATATGTGAACCAATTCTTCATTCATATTATTTATAATCGAAAGACCAACTCTTTCAATGGTAAATAAAACATTTAAATCAATATTTTTGAAGAAACCTTTATATTCATTATTGATATCTTCTAGTTTTAGGGGTGGGTTTGATGTCGACACTCTGTCACGACATTTACTATCACTAATTCTCAATACACGTGTCGGTCCTTCGGCTAAGACAGCAATAGTCAAAATTCCGGATCCTTTTCTCATTTTCTTTGCACTAATAGATTGTTCGTTAGATACAAATTTCAAAGATGTTGGATCAGATTTTTTGGGTCCCAAAACAATTTGGTTTCCAATTTGCAATCCATTACTACCATTGTTTGGTTCGTTTGGCTGAACACATAGATTAGGATATTCACAACATAATCTTCCACTTTCATCAAAAGTCCAGGTCTGAGTCCACGCACGTTTGGCATCAATTTTACGGATCATTAATTGTGTATATCCTCCGGGTTGTGCACATTCAGTTGCGATGTCTAAAACTAATTCATTTCTATTTGTTTTATAAAGCGATGTCTTTTTTGGGTCATTTGGATCAATAGGTGGTGATGAACCCTCATGTATGAGTCTCTTTGATTTATCGAGTCTCCATAACTGTGATCTTTTACCCCTTTCTTTTCTTGCTAAATATACTCTATTTGTACCGTCCATCACATCAAACACTAATTGATGATTATTGTCATCTTTAGGAAAATGTGGTCCAACTGTAACCATTTCATCGTCAGATTCTTCAACATTAAATGTAGCGTTAAAAGCGAGATAAACAAAGTTCTCATAAGTCAGTTGATCTCCCGGTGCTAAACTCATCAAATCATATGTCGAAACAGAACCTCCCGGAGCTCTTACAGTGATGTGAGGCTTTAATGTTGACTCATCCCATGCATAAGGCATTTGTGAATTGGCTCTAACTTTGGTTCTCATATATGAATGTTTAGTATTGGTTTGAAAGAACTCAATCGAAACTTGAGATAAGTTCTCGACCCGAATGGGCGGCGGGAGGTTATTGGCGTCGGTCAACACTATAAAAAATGTGGCGCTTTGTGTGAGTATCTCTACTCTAATGAAATGCGACTTTCGGTTATCGTCTCGAATATTCAGATGAAACGATGTGGACGGCTCTACAACGAACCCTCCCGACCAGTGACAGTCTGGTATCGATGCTATCCTAACACATAGTAGTCGGTCTTTATCAGTTCGTGGCCAATGAAATGACACATTAGATTTCGGTAAAATACTAATAGGATTTTCACGTTCAGCTGAATCACTAATAGTCATACATTTCTGTGCAAACTCTAATCGATAAGAACTGAGATTTTCAATCTGATATCGTGGTGTTATCGTAACAATTCTGGTATCTCGATATCGATCCCTACCATTCCTAATGTCGATTCCAAATTCACAAACCTTATCGAATTTCTGTACATCATTTTGACCAACTCTTAAGCTTCTAAAACACATTCCTTTTTCTAAATAGAAAGGATTAGACCACCGAGGGTTTGTTCCTTTAGTTTTTCCTAATCTTAAAGAGCACTGTCTGACTAAATCCGGTTCTGAAAATGAGAATAAAAGCGGACAAATACTTCGCGCCACTTCGTGTTCAGCCAATTGTCCCGCAAAATCTGAGGCCCCCTCCTGTTTGATTATAATTGGAAGACCTGTCTTATTGATGATCCAAAATGGAGAGTATATGTTAACGGCTAAAGCAGTAGTCGAACCGTTCACTAATGAAACCAATGCATGCAAAACAAGAAGACGTTTTCTACTGTCAAATAAATCAATATGTGTTACATAATCTCTAACAGCTCCGGGATTTATAACAAGTGGTCTACAGTTTGGGAAGTTTTCAATCGATACTTCTATAGTAATTTGTTCCAATGGATTAACATAATGAATAGATATGTCTTCTCCTGATTTTATAGTACCGATGACAGCAGTTCCTGATATATGAAATCTCAATTCATAAGGTAAAAGATTAGTTATCTGAAGTGGTGGCACTAAAGTAATGGTATGCGCCGGTTGTGCTCTATATGATTGCAATCCAAGTCCTTGTGATGTGACATCCAATGGAAATCTGTTTCTTTCAACTAAAACACAGTATCGATAGGCAGAAGCAGTTGAATATGACGAATGTTGGTTACGGGTGACAGTTATGGGACTACAGATTTGTAATTCACTACTTATTTCATTGCATCTTCGCACGTGTTCCCAATTTAATGTTGTTTCACACATATTGACACCAACATCGCACGGACGCACTTGTATTTTATTACGCACTAAACGTAACGGCACCGGTAGTATTGCATTTGAATTTATATAAAGACTTTCATTTGTATTTTGAAATTTAAGTTCAATTGCGTTAGAAGTCTTGTTTGATATGAGAAGAGCTGATCGAATGGTTACTAATTTTCGTGACTTTGGTTCCAATTCAATAGAGAAGACAATACGGGCCGTTTGGTTGATAAATATCTCAGACATAGCTTCTCTGAAGTAAATACCAACTCTATTGATAGTAACCGGAAATACAGCTTTCCATCCATCGACAGCCACTACTATTTTATGTGCTTTTTCCATATGAGAGTCATAGTGTCGTGTTTTCAATGTTTTTGTAACCAAATCAAAGCTAAAAGGAATTGTTTGGTTCTTTTCGACTGTAATCCAATTCATCTGAGTTTGAGTTTCATTCAATAGATCTGACATTTTTTGATCACATAAGACATTGGATTGATGTGAATCTTGAATAGCATAAAACCTGAGTCGACAACCCGTCTCATTCTTTATGGCGTAAGGAATGAATGGTGTTCTGTGACGGAATGCCCTCTTAGTTGGCGACAAATTCATAAAGTCCTGTATGTCTTGAATCCAAGAATGACTAACATTTTTGATGAGTCCAATGAAATGTGATGTCATATTAATACTTAACATCTCTTTAAGTTCAAAATGAAATGATATTTTCTTTTTATGTGAATCTAATGTCTTAATATGAAAAGGTCTGTCAATCACATTCCAGCTAAGCTGGAGCTTACAGTCTTCAATAAACGGTTCCCAACCTGAAAGAGCGCTATTAAAATAATCACAAGAAAATGCCATTTGAGAAAAGCCTTCCAACAGCGGCTCACTATTGTGTTGCATAAGACGAAAATCTTTGATATTAAGCTCAAGAAGAGGCACATCTGTTTCATTGCAGTCATCAATTAGACAAAGAGTTCCGTTCTGTATCCGGATCTCAATTACAGAAAAATTTGAATAAAATGGTTGATTTTGAAGACGAAGATTACGTTCAATACTTGAGTTGTTTGAGTTATCAATAAATTTATCTGATTTGCATTTAGCATTTCGTGTTAACCATATGGCAGACTCACTAATATCTCCGAAACATATTTCAAGTGCTTTAACACAATCCTCGTAAGCAAATCCCAATGACTCCAACTGTTTAATACTTGATGGCAATGCATTGCTTTCTGTAACTAATTTGTGTTTATCATTATGATATTCAGTGCTATTTTTTGATGGATTATATGAAAGTGAACTAATTATTTGCCAATATATAAGTAAATCATTATACGAAACGCGAAGATTGATGTTTGGGATCTCAAAAGTTAGAACTAATTCTTTAACACTTTGATAACTAATTTGACGATTTGTAACCATTTGATGTCTAGTAGTTGATAGGGAAGTGACAGCAAATTTGGTGGCATTCATGTCGGACACCGCCATAACAGCATTCAGACCACTCTCTTCGGAACATTTTTCAAACTTTGGTGTTATGTTCTTATTTTCAACACTTATTTCAATGACGGTCTCTTGTAATATAGAAATACCGTTTGGTTTACAAGAATACAGTTCTTCAACACTTAAACTCATCAAATGATTCCCTTTCTTAATATTCTTCGAACAGTCTAATGAGTAAAGACTTAAATCACGTATTTCAGCGGAAACGATATGATTCTTATTATTCCTATTTTTAAAATTACGATAATCAGGACATATATGGTTCTTAAGTGATATGTGTCCTAAATGGCCGACCATTACTTCATAACTTGAAGAAGAAATTGGAAGAATAATAACTGGTGTTTGCAAATAAACATTTAGTCTAAAATCTTCAATAAAACCGGTCGTAGTTCTCCTCAAATTAGGTGACTTAGACTTTGTTTTAGCTACCATTCCTAAGGCCACTTCAGTTGCGGCAGCTTTGACTTTATCAGAAAAAGTTGTCATATATTTCTTAATATTTTGTGAACAGAGAGTTAATTCATATATCAATTGACTTGAATGGACATAACAGAGAGATGCCATTTCAATGTTTATTTTAAGAATATTTTCATTGAGAAGACGTCTAAATGAAAAGTTAAAAGCCTTTTCATTATCTGTGTTATCCTTTAAAGACATTTTGAATGTTTTGGGCTCTAATTCGACATCACTGGGTGTAACCTCTTTACCCAAATTGATTACTCTTTTATGTTTATTACTGGTCTGATCAGTGACTAAATCAATGACTTGTAATCCATTAAGATGTCCGTCGACTCCAATTTCATTTGACGCCACTTTAATTGTAATGAGACAACCGTTAAGAGAAGCTGTGGCTAATTTTGAGGCATCGTTTTCAGCAATTATTGCACTTTTTGTTCTCAAAATAACTAAATTTAAATAATGACATTCAAAAAGTAAATTTAATTGAATGTTGGATTCATTTGATAGCGGATCAGATGCTTGAGTCCGAAATGTAATGTCAGTACAAGTATTGAATTCATAATCACAAAGACTTTTGTTGCATATCTCGACTCCAATCTTAACATTTGAAAACTCAAATTCCATCAAATTATTCATCAATTTTTCGGAAGTAAAGGTAGGAGAAGAAGGATTTTCAGAGAAAGTCATTAAAGCAAAGGATGCGTTAGTTATAGTAAAGTTTAATTGACCGAAAACGGCATCTCTGGTCACAAATATGTCATTTAAATTATACAAATTAGACATAGATTTACGTCTTTCACTATTCGTTTCGCAAAAACTATTAGCAGTAATTGTCTCTTCATTTTGTTGTTCAGAACTTATATTGTTTTCGGTGTTTGTCTTATCATTGGTATTATAGTTATACCAACCGGAGAACCAATAATTTAATGATAAATAGTTTCCACTCGGGGTTTGAATTTCAATATTTTGTTGACTTTTATCACAATTTGAAAACACTATTTCACGTAAACAACAGATCTCTTCATATGACAACTCATATTCTATCCGTTCCTTAATTAGTCTCATTTCACGGGTAAGTGTCTCGGGATGTAACAAATGGTTATAATACACATCACAATATTTGACACAATCTCGAGCACGTCCTAAGACAAACTGCCAGTTTCGACGTCGTTTCCTCTCTCGATATGCAGACATAATGCAGTCGACTGCAAATTTCCACCAGTCCTTACTGTTACCATTTACTGCAACTTTAGGTTTCCATTTACGGTATTTCCAAGCAGTGTTAGCTCTACTGAAAGCACTACTCCACTCAATTATATGTTTGTATTGAATAGCAGTTAAGAGAACCGGCACCTGATCTAGTTGTAGATCAATCACAGTTCTCGGCACTAAACGTGATGTCAGCGGCTTTTCTGAACAATTTCTTTTAAGATATGCTTTTCCACATACAGGTGCCAATATATATTCGTGATCTGTTGGCGTACCATCAATATCACAGCCACGATCCAAATGGTTTCTCATTTGTTTAACCATTTCTGGTAAATCTAAATGACTAAATAGTTGTGTATTGGTGTCCCAATAGGCACTAAAACCGTCCATTTCTAACAATTTTCTCAAATATTCCGAGTTATCTCTGGTTACATACTTTGGTATCCAATTTTCATCAGTTGAATGAACCGAAAGACTTTTTATGATAATTCCGGCGGCAAATGGAATGCCAGGTATTGTCGAACAGTCCTCATATCGGATATGAACTGATCTGATCTTCAACTGTACATTCTCTACAATATTACTTATAAAATTGGAGCCATAGTTACGCCATGATATGTATGAAGAGGCGTAGTATGACTGAGACTCCTCTTTAGTTGACTCGTGAATGGCTTTCCATCGGGACTCTGTTGCGTCCAATTGATTAATCTTAATATTTTGTTCACTCTTTGTCTCTTCTTCTTCATTATACTAATAACATAATTAAAAATTTAATTTAATCCAATGATTTATATATAATGAAAACATACATTAAAATCAGTTATGGGTCGACCAATGAGGAAGAGTTCATCTATTGATATAACCCACGGCTCACTTTTAAGACGATATACAGGAATCTTAAGACTTATTTTGCCGATATATCCTAAATATCATAAAAAAAATTAAAATTATATTTTATTCGTGACATCTATTTGTAACAAACCATTGATTATCTCAAGAGGAAGACCCAGATGTTTGAATGCATCCTTTCTTAACGGTAGTCCTTCTAACTCGACTTCACCTAAATATGCAAATTGTGGTCATTAATAGTGAACAATATCTTGTAATTTATGATAATTTAATGCAAACCATTGTGAAGAGCAATTGACAGCTGATCTGTATTGACATTATCGAAGTATTCGCCAATATATGAGTTGAGAACCCACGCAACCAATGACGACAACATTATCTTCAGTGCATATCATTCACAACATTACTAGTCATCGATGGTTCAAATAATATCTGTTTGTCGTTACTTATCGTAAATAATGATTTCACTGTTGATGTGATTTAATATCATCGATGTGTTGACAACTGTCCATCACTGGTAACTCTGATGTCTCTGTCAATCAAAATTGTTGTCAATTGTGTTCAACTCATCCAACGATTGTCTTCACTGATGCTAAACATGTCATATGAAAGATCACTTAACAAACGTGTCGTTAGAGTCAACACTTACTCCACTGTATGTTATGTATGACTGACTGACAAATTGTATGGCAATTACTGTTGTTGTGATGCAATGCAAACTCATATAATGTATGAGTCATATATAGAGAAACCAAAAATACAAATTACATATTAAATAGTTTATCAAAAACAGATCAACAAATAAACCAAATATTTTATTTAAATATTTTATTAATTTTCAATATTAACACAATTTCACATGTTTATTTTAGTTTATTTTATTTTTATGTTACTCATAAATATAAAAAGCAATGTTAAATGTGATTAGTTTTAATGTTAATTTGTAAATAACCAATCAATTAGATTGATTACAGTATCTATTTTTTGAATTTTTCATTATTAATATAATCAATTATTTCAATGTTTATTGTTTGACATAAAAATGTAATTAAAACTTGTGTATCATATAATTTATAATATACATTGAATATATTTTTTAAAAATAGACATGCAATATTTTTTTTAATTTTAATTTCTTATCATTCTTTCTAAGTGATGAGTAAATCTATGAAATTTTGTTATAATTGTTTTTTAGATTTTAATTAAATATTAGTTTCAATATATTATTTAATTGGTATTAAATATATATACAGTTTTAGTCGATTACTTATTCTGTTACTATAAATGTCTATTTTTTTAAGTCTTTATTAATATATTAGAGGTTAGAGTGAGTGTGAAATGCAGTGTTGAAAGCACTCAAATGTACGCTAATATGTATTGTATTAACTGTTTTGATAATTACATTGATTTTATAAAAAATAACTTCAATTACGGTTTACAAATCATATCAATTGATATTTTTATGTAAGCATACATCAAATCCAATCAATTAAATACATTTTATTTACTGATAAAACAATCATTTAAAACATTTATTATTATTTTAAATTATCTATAATTAGATACAATTTTTAAATGCAAATACAGTTTTGGTTTTTCAATTAAATATTTATGTTTACATTAGAAGATTAATACAATTAAAAGCACATTTCGAAGAAAAATTCTAAAAATATTTTTGACATGAGATAGCGTTTAGATTTTTTTCGGTCAAAAAAGATATACAAATATGTATAACAAAATATACAATATATAGTGAAAAGTACTGTTTAAGTAATCTTATAATTTAAATAAAATATTTGAATTTAATTAAGCAAATCATTGTAGTCTTCATTGTGGTTGAGGGGTTAGACCTCCAGGAGTTGGTTCCAAGTTTTTAAGCAGTTGTGTCAGCCAATTACGTGTGGACTTATCATCTTTAAGACAACTGGCGAATGTATTATCTTTAAGTTGGTCGGGAAGACACTGTCGAAGAGCTTCTCTGGCGCGCGGATTGTCCGACAAACGCAAATAACATCGAATGACATGTTTTAAGAGTCGAGCGGACTGTTCCTTAGCCAAAGACAATACCATTTTACCCAAAATCATAGCCACGTGTGAAAAGCGGTCATATGTCTGACATATATATGATAAACCAGTTTCATCTAATAAGATCTTCTGAAGTATAAAAGTGGCCACAGTTTTGGATAATTCAGAACCGCTTTCCATAATTCGGAGACAAAGCGGTATGATTTCAGTGGTGAGCAAAAAATTAATCACTTGCTGTTCATCAGTCTTGACGAGAGCGCCGATCACTCCAAGACTGGTTAACCGTAAGTACTCGAAAGGTCTGGTCTTTGAAGTAGAAGTCGTGTGAAGGAATGGGTATAAAAATAGCGGTATATTAGCGGCTAAAAAGGCGGTTCGGGTTTCTTGATGTGAGGCCACGCACTGCAGTAATGCCAATGCATTGCAGACCCGATTGGACTGATGAGCGGTCAATGTCGGCGGGTTTATCGTGGGATACACTGTAATAATCTCTTGAAGGAGAGCAGCAATGGCTCCAAATGAATGCCATAACATTGTGGCCAAATCGGGAACTACTTCTCGTTTTTTGCTTAACTCCAAGAGTGCATTCTCTCGGCTCTCGGCGTTAGACAACTCACTAATCCATTGATATATCTTCTCGTGATCTACGGGTTGAGCGCTCGCAACGGTTACCACACCTGATGTCGAGTTTCCGCCGATTGACACCAAACCTGCTGTCGATGACATCATTTAATACATATATTTAATACATGTCTTCAGTTAACAACCAAATCAAACACTAAACTATTGATTGAATTACACAAACAATTAAATTAATTATTGATTTAATCATTCAATTCAATTGAATTCAATTGTTTGATAAACGCTTTCTATACTCAATCACTATATGAACACATATGTAGTGCAATCTATTGGACACTCATTTACTAAATATATATTAACTGTAAATAATATTTGTATTAATATTACTTGAATACAGGTATAACTGCAACTAATACAGTAGTGTATTAATATTGACACTTCTCATATTAATTAATTTTTTTAATAATTAATACTTTAACACTATAATTATTATTAATTATTATAATTAATAATTATTGTAAAAGTTATGACATTTTTAGTTTTCTAACATTTTTAGCTTAATTATATTTTTACAAATAACTTATAAAATATATATCATATTTACTAAAAGTATTTTGTAATTCTAATAAAGTTTAATATCATATAATAATTTTATGATACAGTATTCAATAATAAAATACAATAGTATAATACATATAATATGTACCTGTTTTATAATAATTGTTATTTGTTTTCATTGCATAATTATTCAAATAACATACAATTTTTACATTAATATTAATGAAATACAAATTATTATTTATGAAATAGGGCTTTAATAAAACTATTTCATTGAAATACTACATGTATTATATTTATAAATAGAAATGATAAAATCTGATTTGATATAATCATTTCACTATATATTTATAAAAATTAATCAATATTTATAATTAAATAATCACTTAATTTAAAATATATTACCAAGGTAACTTAGCTAAGTGTATTTATAAAGTATAAGTATAAGTATAAGTATAAGTAATGTTAGTAAGTAACATTATGAAATTATTTACTATTGTTGTATTAATGAATATTTTTTAAAGTTATCAACATAAATTTATTTACATATGAAATAATTAGATATAAATTTAATAACTTAACATATTATTACATTATATCTTCATTGTTTATATTACTATCAACTTAATATAATTAAAATAAGTTTTTAAAAAGAGTATATACAATATATATATAATTCAATTATAGAAAATAATGAAAAGTCAAATTCAACTATTTATTGAAATATTTACTCATATGTTGTGTTATATTACAGGCCTCAGGTAATTAATTAGCTAATTAGTAATTAATTTTCAATAATATAAAATTAAAAAAATTAATAAGTTTTATTAAGTTAAATTACAAAAATCATCAATATGTTATGTTAAAATTGAAATAAATAATATAGATATAATTTAAAGTGTTTATTTATATTTTATTTATAAAAAACGTCCACAATATATTTTATTACGAAATTCTTTATTTAATACATATGAAATATTTTTCTCAATAAGTTTACATTTATATTCAAAAATACGTCTATTAAATATTATCCAATGCCAATTAGAAATTCTTGCTTGTTTTGAAGCATATGTCCAAACATACATTGTTTTGATTTTTACATCATCATTAAATTGAACAGATTTCATTTTTTAATTTTATTAAATATTTTTATAATTATTTTATCATTTAAAAATCTGTTACGTAAGAAAAAGTTTAATATATTTTTAATACTATAATTTCTTGCTCGAAGTAATAAATAAAAAAGTGAATAATAGCCACATGTAGTAGAAAAAATATGTTGCAAAGGTATATGATTAAATATAAATTTGTTACCATTTAATTTTATAAAAGAATAAATTTCTTTATGATAAGGTTTTTTACCAAATGAATCAAAATATTCAATAGGCCCGGTGATTGGAACATAAATAGCTAACCAATGTTCACCAGGTTGTGTTGATTTGTGTGTATTAACAATAAAAGCACAAGGTTTATTAGTTTTCAAATGAGCTATTTTATCTAAAGCTAAAACTCCACAAAATTGATTTTTTGTAAGTTTATCTTTATTAATAAAACTTAATAAATCAAATGTGTTCATGTTTAATAATCAGTAGTTATATTTCTATTTTCATCAATTTCAATAGTATTATCAAAAACAGCATAACAAATTAATTTAATAGCATTAGCTAAATTTTCTGAAAATTTTAAATGCACATTAATATATCCACTTTTAGGTAAATTAATGTATTTATCTGTAAAGCTAAAATCATTATTTAAATTAAATGCATATAAACATAAACCATTTTTATAATTTTTGACATCAATTGGTGATGGATTATTAACAAAGTTATAACCCAAATTTAACAATAAATCATGATATTCTCTAGAAAATAAATCAGTTGTATAATTTGGTTGATATGGTATTTTTGGTACCATTTCTCCATTAACATTCAAAACTAAATGATTCAAATTAAAATTTTGAAATCTTAAAGGATCTCTGTAACTATTTCCTCTATAAGCAGCATCATCAACCATTCCTAATATAATTTTACTAGGCAATTGCCCGAGAAATAAATTATCTATATTGAAAGATGATTGTCCTTGTGTCAAATTAATTACTTTAATATTAGGTCGTTTTACTGGATATAGTGCATTAGATATTCTTAATGCTTGTGCGTGTGCATTAAGTAAACTTGGTGTTACTTTTACTTTCCTAGCAAAAATACTCATATCGGTAATTTTTAATAATGGATATTGATCTGCTGTCATTGCTGCTTGTTCTGAAACTGTTGGCCATCTTTCATTTGCTTTAGTAAACTCTAATTTAATAGGTACACCACTAATAAGTAATTTATTTGATGAAAAGATTGGCCCATGTAATTTTCCATAAAATTGCATTGATTTACTAGAATTACATAACGTTACTAAATGTTCATTTGGATTTTCGTAGTTATAAGCTGGTGTCCAAAATGTTGTAACAAATCCTGACGGTGTTACACTTCCATTTGAATAATTTGATTGTTTAGTAACGGCTTCAATAAATGACATATAATTATAATTTTGGGCTGCCTGACTAACTAATGTAGAGCCTAAGTAAATTGCTAGTTGATCAAATGATGTATTTAAAATATAATTTGTTGGGGCAAAATTATTAATTGCCGCTGCAAAGTTTGTCCCATCTCTATTTGTTAGTTTACATGTTAACATTAAATAAATATTTTGCATATCAATATATTCGTCAGCTGATGCCTGAATTTCAAAATCAATTGTATTTGATTCAAGAACATTTGATTTTGGTCTGTATTCAAGTAATTGTTGACTTTCAATAGCTCCTTGAAATTTAACTTTTTCAAACAAATTTAATTCTTCTTTCAAAATTTCTGTTGCCATTTTTAATTAAAAATATTTAGTTTCCGCGTTTTTTTTCTTTTAATAATTCTTTTTTTCTTTAACTTTTTTGATGGTCGTTTTTTTATTAATTTATTTGAAGAATTTTTTGTTTTAATTAAGCGTGTTTTATTAATTAATTTTTTTGTTTTAACACTTTTTGATTTTTGAGGTAAGAAATCAATATTTGATGGCTCTATTTGATTAATACCTTGAATTGGTATACCTGCGCCTTTTTGATTACTTTTTGCTTGAGCACAATAATAAGAACTATAATCCATTATTTTAAACATGTAAACATATTGATAACTTTTACAGAACTAAATTATAAATTATAATGTGGTCTTATAATTATAGTAGCAAAAATTTTTCCTCTACGAAAAGTTAATACATTATTTTCTTCATCAGTAATTATCAAATTAATTGAGTTAAATTGATTATATTTTAAAGGAATAAAATTTTTAATATTAAAATCATATTTAATAACTTCTTCTTTTTCGGTACAGTTTGTTGGAATTATTCTTAAAATATTAGTTTTTTTATTTTGATAATTTGAATCTATAATTAAATTACAATAAACTATAAAATAATTTATATTTCTTGTAATACTTAAAGGGCGAATATCACTTATTATTTCATTTCTTTCACTAAGTGTTGTTTTCAATATTCCAGGTTCGTAATCTCTTATATGTCTTTTTTGAGATTCGAAATTTTCATATAAATTAAAATTATCAAATAATTCATCACCTTCTCCAAGATAATAATTTTTAAAACCTAACAATTTTTTTAACTTTTCATTGAAATCAATGTAAAAAACACCTCTTAATAAAAAATATTTTACTTTTTTCTGATTATCTTTTAAGGGAAATTTATTTATTGGCTTTCCCATTTCATGGTAATCATTATCTGATATTATAATATCATCATTTAAATTAAACCATTCTTTTGTTGGTATATAAAAATTACCATTTTTAATTTTATATAAATTTTTGTCTTTATTAAAATCAAATTCTATGTTATTGATTGACCATTGAATTTTTTTAAATGAGACTGTTGGTAAATTAGATGTTTTTGATGAAGGCATGATATAAACAGTTGGATATTTACTTTGAATATAATATTCGATTTTTGAATTAATTTTATTAATGGTATCTTTTAAATTATCTTTCCAATGAATTTCTTTATTATGTATTATTTGATATTCTTCAGTAATAGTTTCACCAAGGGAATAAGTTGGATCAAATTCAACAAGAAACTAAGTTATATTGTTTAATTTATCTTGGTCATTTGCATCAAAGTCATTTTTTATATCTCCATAAAAACTTTCAGGTACCCATTTGAAATGTAATATTAATTTTAAATTTTCCAAAGGCTTTTTTAATTCAAGTTTTTTTGGTATAATTAGCTCAGTTAAAGCACATTCTTGAGGTTGTTTAAATGAAATTTGAGGATCATACTCTACTTCAATAATACTTTCATTATTATCATTAGTTAAATAAAAATATTTGTCATCATTTTCAAAATTATTCATTTTTATTAAATTTTTAGCAATTCATTAGCATAATATGAACCTCTAATAATAAAATTATTTTTATCTTTTATTTTATATTTATAATAAGGAGAAGTAAATAATATTTTATGAATTATAAAAACTTCATCACTATAATTAGGTATATGTCCTTTTTGAAATATATTTCTTAATAATTGTATTCTTACACTATCACCAATTTTAAATTTTTGTTTTTCTTGTGATTTATAAATTTTAAATAAATTTCTGTAAACATATTTTTCATTCTTTTTTGTAACATCAATTGGTTTATATTTTGTTCTACTATGTATTGTATTATTATAATTATTTATTACATTGTCAAAAACGCTAATAAATTTATTTGTTTTATATTTATACATATATTTAA